TGCTATACAAAGTACCCGGGTTTTTTGAGTGGGGGGTACGCAAAAAGGGGGGTACTTTGGTCAGTGCACTACGGTATTAACTATTAACGATCTGAAAATAAAATACTGTAGTTTTAAGTGATAAATACAGAATAGTTTATATTTTGGTCAAATTTGCAGATCATTTGACCAGATTTGAAATTGTTTTGTTTTAGATCTGGCAAAATGATCTGCAAATTTGGCCAAAATGATAACTGATGTTTTTCTATTTATCAGATGATGCAGTTCCACAGATATGAATTATTAAGCCAACATACAATTGGTTTGTCACAATTAAGTATCGATATTTGACGAAGGAATTAAATAATTGATCGGCTATAGCCGCGGCTAGCCGGCTATGATCGGCTAGCCGGTAATAACCGACCGATACCCGACCGTAACCGACCGAGTCCATCCCTATTCGAAACTATGCTTCACATAGTTTCGAAAGGTTATTCAATTCGGCTTATTTTGAGGGTTTGACCTTTATTCAAATCCGGGGTTTAAATATAAGTTCCGATTATTACTTATCGGACTTTACATAACTATGAACCGGATTTTCAAATAATTGGGTTTTGGATGAAAGTCAAATTCCAAAAATCTGCCGAAGTGAAGGTTTCGCTAACAAATGTAGTATAATCTCCTTTTTCTTGATCTTTATCAATGTGCACTTGTCAAGTAATTCTTAATAAACCTCGTTTATTAAAGAATAAGCATCCCAAAATCGTTTTTTTGAATCAATCTTCTTGAAAATGATTGAAAACAAAGTTTTTAAGATTTTGGAAACTTGATAAGTATATATATATATATATAATTAAATTATTCTTTAAGGCCTGAACAATTGCCTGAATTACTTTATCAAAAGCTATAAATATTAATAAATAAATATGCACTATATAAAAAATAGAAATAATCTATTGTGTATTTTTAATATAGGGTTTATTAACCGAAGGTTCTAATTAAAACACGATTTAAGATGTTGAAGTGGTATTAGTGCCAGGTGTTTTAAAATTGGGTTGTTTTAGCCCCAATAAGGGATAAAGTTGATTTCTAAGTTCCTTTAATTGAGGGACAGGACTATCCCTAGAAAATAACCAAAAGAATATAAATAAAAGTTCAAAAATATGAATTTTTTTTGTTACAATACAAATATGTGTTACAAAAAATACCAATCAGTATTGACTAAAATATCTTCAATCTTGAACATTTCTTCTGATTCATCTTCTATTGACCCGGTAAGTGTTAAATACAACTGATCTGCAGTCGATCTTCGAACCTGAAGAAAACAACAAACCTAAATTTAGTAAATAGTTATTATAAACGTAATATTGATTTCTAATAAAAAAACCTTACCATTGGAAAAGGATGTACTAATAAACTAAGTAATTGATACAAAGAACGATTTCGCACTGTACCATCTAGCGATGTCATCCCACAAAAACTACACAATTGATAAATATAAATATTGATTTGGATGGTATAAGAAAAAAATCCAAATTGGTAACTTACACTCGCATACAGGCTGTAATTTTTCTTATATCCCGTGTCCCTGAAATTTCTTTTTTGACACATTCAAATAAGTCTGCAAAGCTACAATATAAAAATATCTTGTTAGTATGGTATATAAAACTAAAAATAAAATTATACATACCTGAAAAAGTCCAAATCAATTTTTTGTAAAGTTCCAGATTCAAATAATAAATCCAAAACTTCCAATAAAGGAATAGTTATACGATCTTGTTTTTCATTGTGACGAAATATGTTTAAGAGTTCATTTGCAAGTTCCGGTAACGATAATGATGAATCTTCGGGTGATGTAACGGGGAGTTCATTTGCATAATCAAGTAACGTACTACTTGAATAACGAACCTAGAAACTAAATATTGTTAATTATGGATGCGTATGATTGATTTAGATACGACTAATATAACAGATATCAAATGTATCAAACTGACCAGGGATTCATTTATACCCCCAGCTGCAATTACTAATCCAACAAGTAAATCAAATCTATATTCTTTTAACGTGAGTAATTTGACCATTCTGGGATACAGTTCTAGTGGAGAGGTCCAATGGATCTCTTCATCTCTGAAAAATATAAAAAATTAATTTTTTTCATGGAATTATTGATGGCATTAAACTTGTGCATAATTGTCACATACTTTGGCAAAAGATTTTGTAAAGTTTCTCGAGCTGGCAAATTAAATAGATACACTTCTTCATTTCCTGTAAGGATCTTCATGTATAGAAATTCCAATAATACTCGGCCAGCGCAAGATCTGATTTTATCAATTCTTTCAACACTTTGTTTTAATAATTTAGCAAAGATCTTTGTACTTAATTCATCTGACAACCATGGTTCACAACTGGGATTATTTAAGTCCAATCGTGCAATAAGTGGACAAATTTCAGAAAATCCATTCATACAGGCTTCACGAACCCAAGATCCAACATCTCCTCGTTGATCTGTACTATAATCCTCGAGGCCCATGAAATAAGCATTGATAATTTTATCAAAAGTTGGTTTAGGAACCACTGTCATAATTTTAGACTTGATTAGAAGAAAAAAATTAAGACATTGCCAATAATAATAATAATGATAATAATACCTGTTTTAAGTGAGTCACCCAATTTTTTAGATATTTTTGCTAATGAAATCATCGCATTTCTTCGAGTTTCTGGATCATTCCATACTTTAGTTTCCTATAAAGAAAATAGTAAATAATATTTATAAAACCAAAGTTTATAATAAGATGAATCATTATAAGAAACCTGTATCTTTGAAGATAAAATTAGGGAATCAATCGCACGATCCAAACATTCTGGAATCTTATAATATTCTATAACACCCAGAGCAAGAGTAAAACCTTTTCTTGCATGAACATTTTTTGAAGGATGACAGTGATCGATATACGTGCAAAGATAGTCAAAGATATATGTACGAATTTATATTAGTGGCCACTAAACTTTAACAACACAATAAATAATCTTTTTAGTGGAAGGATATATATCTATTTCTGATCCATCAATTCCATGTTGAGCCACAAGAGCTTCAACAGCATGTACAGCAATTTCTTGTCCAATTTCATCTTTTCTGCTAAGAAGATCGTAAACTACACTTTTCCATTTTTTCAAAACTTCATCAGTTACAGGCCATCCAGCTTTAGCTAAGCTAGCGATATGACTCACTGCCGCTTGAGCTGTAACTTCTGACCCGAAATCTGTAAATACATGCTCAGGAAGAGATCCGACTATATTGGCTACGTTCTTGAGTAATAATAGTTTTAAATATTAAATATTAAATGATAAATTAAATATTGAGCTAAATGCTGAAATTTTTAAAGCAAATCGTTTTGTAGAATACCATAATTAAATCTTTATGTCGCTCAATCCAGCTTTTATCATCTTTTTGTAAATTTGACCAAGCTAAACATATTTCGCCTATTGCTAATAAAGCACCATGTCTTGTATGCATATCAGGGGATAAAGCTTGAGGGATCTGAAAATTAGATATTGTTGAGCTGATGAAACCTAAATAGATAGTTAATATGAAAGTTCACAAACTCACCAAGAATGGTAAAACCTTATTGATGAAATAGTCAAGGTCAAGAGGTGTAAGATTATGTAAAGCTTTAGCCCCTAGTACCCTCATGCTTTTGTCCCAATTAGATATTGTGTGTTTACTTAGGTGGTCAATCAGATGATATCTATATTCTACAAACCTGAATCCATAAAAATATTTAGGTTATAAACAAAAAAGTTTTATAATAATATAAACTCATTATACATAAAAAAATATATATGCTAACTCTGCAATTTTCACACTTATATCAAGAAAAGCATTAATCCTGTTACCAACAGTAAAATAATCAGCTGTGGTAATAATTTCTATGCCATGTGGGAAAATACCCTAAATAACAACGATAAAACATAAATACTACAATTCATAAGCACAAATCCTATATAAAGAGTTTGAAACCAATTTCGTTTTTCATATTCTGTGAGCACTACTTTAAGCAAATTCAAAAAATTGTGATATATAATTAAATCAGTGTTCTAATCGTTTTAATAGTATTTGAGAAAAATGTCAAGTCTGAAAATTTGAAAATTCTCCAAATAATAATTGGAGTATTAATTGTATTAATCATTTTAATGATCAATCTGAGGATTCTTAAATTCCCAAACTGACATTTTCTTAGACCAGTCCTCATTTGTTATTTGTCACGCACGTACGTATTTGATCATACACCATTAAATTACGTAATATCACAATTTTTCGAAGCTCGACAAGGTATTAATTTATATTTGCAGGTTTTTTCTCAGCAGACTTAGTTGTAAATTCGGATTTATCATATGAATAAACTGGTTCAAAACTCTACTTAAGAACTAACCTGACGACCGACATTCTCTTGAAAAGCAGCGCTACTAGCACGTCTAACGTTCACTTCACGATCAAATACAGATACCACAACGAGATTATTCGACAACTCTACTACATATGGTTCAATAATTTCGGGAGCATAGGCACGAGCAAAAGACCAGCAAACATAACAGGCAGCATCCCGTACATGAGCACCAATCGAATGAGAACCACGTTTCTGGTCAAATTTTAATGCCTAATAATTATAAAATAAAAGAAGGCTCATTTATGTATTGTTCAAATAAGAAATTAAAATAGAGTGAGTAACTTACCTTGGTAACCCAGGGAATGACCTCAGATAGTCTCTCTGGTAATAATAATCCCCTTCTTGCTAATTCAGCTATAGCTAAGCATACACCATGCCAGGTATGGTCGGATACTGCAGACAACTCTAATACACCATCATTATTTTTATATGTATTTTCGGAGAACAATTCAAATAAAGAGCCAATCACGTCATCAGCAAGTTCCCGTGGTAACCGTTGTGCGATTCGCCCTATGCCTTTAGCAGCAGACCAACGCACGACTGTATCCTATCATAAAAAGAAAGCAAGAATATTTAAAAAGATTTCTTAAAAGTACTGATATCCAACGTTTGTAAAAGGTCACCTTACTACGCAGACCGTTTAATAAAATTTCTATGATCTCTTCGAGCTGTTCAGGTACTTCTTCATCTTCATCTTTTTCATCTTCCAAAGATTGGTGCACATTTGAAGGATCAATAGTTGTTGTTTTTGATAGTGCATCCAAATTATCCTTAAGTGATCTGCTACCTATATTACATTTTATATGTCTTATTTTTTTTTTTTGTCTTTTGTGAATCATAAATCAAAACTATTTAAAACATTAAAATATACCCCTTTGATATCTCCAAGAAGCCACTTTTGGTTTTAGATAACATAAACCAATCCTTTGAGCCAATTTAACTAATAATTTTCTAATAAGTGTATTATTCACAAATAATTGATTTCCTTCAAGTAAGTTAAGGCAAGGCAATACAGATTCTAATGTTGGTAATAATGTTTGCCTTTGACCAAGTTTATAAATGGCACAAAGGGACGTGAGAATACCAGTGATCTAACCAATAAGCCAAACCATGAATAATTTTTCAAGTAAATTAACATCAAGTATGAACTAATCAAGTGATAATTTTACCGTAAACACATCTTTTTCATTTCTAACTTCATCTTGTGCCCATTTAATATAATTTGCAAGATATAATTCGGCAATATCTCGTCTACAATCATGAAATAAAATTAATACGATGAAAGTGATATGTTTAAACGTATAATCATTACAATTATTTCAACCTTGTTAGTAAACGAGACAAGAACACCGCCGCACCATCTCTTTCTTTACCAGTAACCTTTAAATAAAACTTTGACAACTCAACCATATGATCCACAAGAGGAAACTATGAAATAATGACAAGTTATATTAATTTCCGATATGTATATATATGTATAGGGAGAGAGAGAGAGAAAAGGAGGGAAGAGAATAATGGAACCACGATTCACCTTATCTTCTTCAGCAGCAGCTAGACTGTCAACAGTCTTTAGATCGAATGGGACCATACAAATTAATGATAACCATATTAACAATACGTATCTTGTTTCCCAACCAGTATAATCTTTAGGATCTTGGGCAACCATGAAATAAAAGGTTGGTTCCAAATCTGATACTTCATGTGTGAAGAATTTCACTATAAATTATTTTTTTTAGCCGAAAATATATATATATTAATTATATATCAGAATTATGTTAACTAAGAAAACTTTATCGTAATGAAAAAAAATAATTTATTAAATTTTTACATGTATTTTACCAATAGTTTTATATCCACGAATTTTCATCAGATAATATAATAATATAAAAAGTCTTTTTATTTTTTTAGGTATCTGAATAAAATCAGGTTTATTTTGCACATCATGTCGAAACGAATAACGAAGATGACATTGAACAGGAGAGAAATTTAACAAATTTGATTGATTTGGTAATTTTAAAATTTATTCTTCTTACAATTAAAAAAATCCCGTGAATTTTTGTAATCGATTCGAAAAAATATTTATACATGATTTTTTTTATGTTCAATAAAAAGATTAATCCATATCAAGAGCAACCATTTCTTTTAGATCCACATTTAGAGA